GTTGTTTAAGTTGAATAATTTAGTGTTAGATTGTTACCGATAGTGGCGAGAGATTAACTGTAATCCCCATTGTTGAATGTATGTCAAAAGCAAACTTGTGTGTATTATAAATTAACTATGAAAATCACATGATTTCGTTTGTACTTCGATCAAGCACACAGCAACAAAAGCCAAATTTTTAATATTTCGCTTAGGGGTCAAGTAACCAAATATTGCCATGTGCGGCCATTTATTTCACAATCATAAAATACCACTTTTGGATATTGGATGGTTCGTTATTCAAGAATAGAAGAATGAAAGAGAACTATTTTACAAAGCACAAAGGAATATTGTGATTCAATAAGACTCTTATTATAAGATTTACGCATACACAACAGAACGTTAACTAAGACCGAGATATAGCAAGAGATTATAAAGTAGAGTATCTTTTAAAGTTTATTTTTCTTGCTTGATTGGTTTAAAGTCTTTTTGCCGTAAGTCAACGCTGACGATCGTTATCAACGCAGTAATATCGATAAGAAACTAATGTCATTTTGTGTGTGTCGGAACGTAACGTTTCGCAAAAGTATATTAGCGTTGAATAGTGGCAATATACAATGTAATATCGTAATCGCTTGAAGATATATGGTTTTCTCAGATTGTTCGGTATGTTTGTTCACTCTTAAATTGAGATTGTTTCATTCTCAACGTATTTCAAATAACTTATTGTGGTTGCCAAACGTACACACACACACAGATTCATCCCGTCGATGCACACTTACACACAATCATCTGTGTAAGACGCTTGTGTATCGCACATCATCAACAGCAACAGCAGCAGCAGTAGTAAGCGAAACAAAAGCGAACTTTAATATTTGTCAACCTTTGCATAATAAGTTGTTGGTGATTGTGTGTGAGAAAGCATGCGACATTTTCATTCTGTCGCAAGTGAGAACCATCCAATCAATCGTCAATGCGATTTCAATACACAAAAAAGACCACTGATACATTGAAATCGCATGCGAGACGAGATTACCATTCGATGTGCATAGAATGTCAATCACACCATCGGTCGGCGTTATTTTGAGCGGTTGCATTGAATAAAATTCACATTAGTTCTTTTTTTATTTGTAATTGCATCGACCGCCAAAACGGACACTCAAGCAAAATTTATTCGGTGAACTTTACAATTTTGAATTGTGTTGTGAGTTTTGTGTGCGGTATTGTTTTTTTTTTCTTCTTATAATTTCGTTTTTGTTTCTTGTGAAACCACATTTTTCAATGGAAAAACGTGCTACGACCAAACGTGTGATTGAGAAACAATATTATTTTGTTTCAATTCCGGATTTCTGTGCCAAGTTATAGACAACCAGTTTGAGTGTTTTCATTTTGTGTTCGGATATAATTCGCTGATCTATTGTTATTTGTGTGTGTGATTGTATCTTCGAATCAAACAATAAAATATTGACATTAATTTAGTTCAATTGCAAAAATTAAAACCAAAAAGACACAAACAATTAACGACAAAAAGAACACAAAATTACTGTGCCCCGTTCACTTGTAAATCGAGTACAATTGATGCCGATGAATTTACAAAACGGTTTCGCAACGAATAAGTAATGAAGCAAACACATGATACGAATGAACAAACAGTAAATAAAAATTGACCATTTGTATTCAGCAGAATTATATGAGAATTCTAGTTTTTAACTGGTTTTTGATTGGTGGATTTAGTGGTTGACTTGTGATTCGTTTTGAGCAAAAGTGTTTTGGGAGTTAATTTTGAAATTTCATCGTTTTTTACAAAGTAAACATAATCAAATCGAAACGATCATAGTGTGAATAACCATGGTAAATATACAATTATTTTCCCACATCAAAAATGTATTCACTTATTATGTGGTTTGGTTCATTCAACTTCATCGATTGAAAAATATTGAAACAGTCTGAACATGACTTCGTACAATGAACACACACGTGCTATCAATACACTCTATTGTCTAATAGACCAGTCAATCAGCTGTTGAAGTACTTATACGGTTTGTCTTTTCAGCGTGAATTTCTTGGCCGTTTTGCTGAATATTTTCCATTCGAGAGGAGGAACACACCTCGTTCACTAAAACGCTTCTAGTGAAAATTTGAACACAAATGCAGTTGTCGCATGCAATCCACTTCGAAAGCGTTGTGTATGCATTTTTGTTCTTCGTTGGCGACTTCTTTCTTTTTTTCTCAACTGAGTTCATTGTTGCGCATGCGGCTACGCACAAAACTCTGTTCTCATGGTGCTAGTGACATTCAAGAGTGCTTCGACATTGAAAATATTCAATTTTTTTCTATTATCCTCCTGACTGTCGCCAAGCGATGTATTCCTTTAAACATGTAAAAACGACCACTTGAGAACCATCATTATATGCGATATGAGACAAAACTTATGATATGCTTATGCACGCTTTGTTAAGTGTAAAACACATTATTTAGTGCAATTGATACCACCACCATTCAGTGTGTATGTGATTCGTGGAAGACGAGCAATCGCCAACGATTATTCCATAAAAACATGTTTATTTTTATCAAATGTTCGTGGAATCGCACTTTGTTTTGTTTGTCTGGCGCAAAAATAAAGAAGAAACAAAGGATTTCGTTGTGTGATTTATGGATCAATTACATAACTGTGTAGAAGAAAAACGATCATTCAGTGACGACGTTCGAACGATTGAATGAATGACAAAAAAGAACCCATTATGACGATTGACAACAACGTCGAATAGTGTGTTTTGTTTAATCTGCGATAAACTTGCATTTTATTTGAATCTTGGCATTGACACAATGTTTGACTAATAATAACAATTTGTGTGCTAGTTGATAATTTAAAGTGCTGATAATGACCACACACACACACGCTTGGACGTACACAAGCTCAGTTATTGTTTTTCCTTTCTATTTACTCCATGAATTCTTCGTGACCCGTTTCTAAAATGCATTTTACGCAACATCATCATGAAAAAAGAAATCAATCAAAGTGCGGGGAGTCGATGTGCTGCTATCAGCCAAAGCAAATAATTAAAATGTGTCTCGAGTCGTTTGGCGATTTCGAACAAGGCAAACACTTCCAATAAAAAAAGCACTAGATCTTTGGTTTAGATTTTAACAAGTATATGCTTCAAATACAAAGTATTTTCACTTTTGATTTTTGTATATCTACAACACACAATCGAACACAATTAGGTTAATAACAATAGCATTTTGATAAAGAAAAATGTCAACTACTTTTTTTTTAACTCAGTCCGCATTTTATTCACAACTTTATTTTCACATTGATGTTTTTTTTCTTCTGTTGTCATGTTGATCATGCATTCGTTTTAATCAATCAGGTGAAAAATTCATCGAATCGCCTTAACGAGACATTGAATTCCAATTAAATTCATTAAATATGATTAGCAATTTCAAAACGATTTGATTTTTTTCGCTGTTTGCAATTGAACATTTTCCAATTGTTGATTCAAGCATGTGTAGATAAAATGTCGTTTTTCACAAGCACTAAATAAAATATTTTCCTGTTGCCGTTGGCCATTGCCGTTCGATATTCAATGGTACGTTCAATGAAATGAGCTTCTCATAATTCATAGATCCTAGTGCCAACAAACACCAATGCCCCTCTCCAACGCCACATGCTCGTTTCAACATTCGCAACATATTTAGCAGAAAGAAAAAAATCTATGGCGACATCAATAGCGAGTCTATCATTTAACATTTTTATTTTTTTCATAATTACATTGCTGATTCACTCAAAGATTATTCTTCCGCTAATGAAAATTGCTTATTTATTAGCAATCGAGCAAACATATATACATTTCCCTTCGACTTTTCTCGCTAGATTTTATTGCGTCTTTGTCTACGCCAACTGACTTGACTACTGTTTTCTGTCTTTTTTTATTCAAATTTATTTTTAGTATTTTTTTTCTTTTTTTTTTTCATTTTCGAGATCAATCGTCATTACTAGCGCCAAAAGCGAAAAAAATCTGAATAAAACCAACAGCTGGGCAACGGCTTCATGTATTTTATGTTTGTTTGGTTGGTTGAAGCTAGAGCACTGTGCTTTGTTGCCAAACATTCTCTCGAGAGATTTCGTCAAACCGATTGTCGATAAAAATAGCGTGTGGTGGCACGATGTTACCGTGAAATGTCCATGTAAATTTTAATTTTACAGTTGTTTTTGTTTTCACTTTGCTTCTTCATTTCAATTGACATAAAAATAATGGACGTAAACTGATTTCATGACCACTTTGGCATTTGGATGTTTTGACATTTATTTCATATTTTATTACTCCTTTTATTTAAACAATGTTTACATGAATATCCACTCTTGAAACATTGCTCACGTGGTTTAATTTGATTTCGATTCTTTTGTGTGCAACTTTCCACCGATACTTTGCTATCAATTTGCTACGACATTGCTATAAAAAATGTAACTTATCTTTTGGGCCCATTAGTAAAATGATTATGAAACTAACTAATCATCGTCAATATGTCGAAGTAATAAGCAAACAAATCGATTGAGCAAATCGAGGTTTTTATGCGATACCCATCTGCAAAAAAACTACCAAATCGTCGAAAATGTGCAGCGATTGCGTTAATATGGTTCGCTTTAGATGAACTACAAGTGATCAATGTTTTGACAATACTATTTTTAGACGGGCCAATTTCATTTGATGGGTTCTTTGCATGGAAAGAGAGTAATTATAAAACAAATACAATTAGGCCAACTGCGACTGAACTTGTGTGTCTCATGAGACTCTCATCCTTATCTCTAATCGATTGATTGAATGCGGGGAATTTTTAGATAATAGTGATACGATTTTTAATTGTGTTTTCCACATGGGAGTGATGTAATTCGATGCCATTTCGAGTTAACAATGAAATTCAAAACCAAAACCGAATATTTTAATTAATTCATTCATTAATTGATTCATTCCATTTATTAACCATGTATATGTTTTTTATTTCTCCTTTTTCCAATATAGATTTGGTTAAGCCAACGGTTGTGTGGGATACCGTATGGAAGAACGTCGAGTTAAACGTTTTCAAATTGGTGATAGCATTTCACCATCATCGTTTGTACCTGCCAAAAGAAAATCTCGCAAAGATCCTTGTAACCAGGTACATTGATTTGACCTTCACTTGACTTGACTTGCAGTCAATAACATTTATCATCACCATTCTCATTTCAATGTAATCCATTTGTGTGTGTGTGTGTTTTTCGCCTTTTTCTTTCATTTCAGTGGTTCAATTTTGTGCAGTTTATCCGCATGATAACTACGTTACTGAGTTTATTTAGGCGTCAATTCTGTCGCGATCTAACAGAATGGATGCGAATAGAAGAAAAAATTTCAATAATAATAAGTCAGTTGGTGTTGTTGCCACACAATCTATCATCGAAAATGGGAGCAACAGCCACACAGCCACCAACGGAACAATTAGCTCAAGCACCGAATCATCGGATTCGGTTGAACCACCTAAGCAATCGTTTAATGATAATATTAGTAAAGACTTTCATGAAAACAATGTGTGTGTTGAACAATTCAAAAGTGAGCAGTGCAGTGAAAAGCACTCGGACTCAGTTAAATCAAATGAAAAAGACTCAGATGTTCTGTGTAGTATTTTAAGTGTTGGCAATGAGAACGGTGTGTCCCAACTAGATGGTTCGCGTAACATCAATTCAAATTCGATGTCTGGCCGTGTTCAAATACAAACAAATAATTGCAATAACAACAGTTCGATTGACAAACAACTTAACGGAAATGATAAGAACTGCAATCGAAGTAATCTTCAAGAGGCCTGTGTGTCGAATGGAACTACAATCAATATGGATGATAGCCATAATGATTATCAAGAATCATGCAATGATTCCAACGCCAGCACTACCAAATCAACGAACGAAATCGCACGAAATGATAAGATAAACACCAGTGGTCGGCGTATAAGTAACAGTACGAATGAATTCGACGCCAGTCACAATTCAAATATCGTTGAAATTGTTACAGATACGTTGGTCGACAATCAACAATCAACAGTTGAAGAGGACATAAGTGAGAATCAAACGAAACAATCGGTTACAAAATTACTCGTGCAAAATTCAAGTGAAGATTGTATTTCGACGGATACAATAAGCAGTAATAGTATTGATGTTAAACCAATTAAGTGCCCAACAGATCGAAGCCAAACGGCAAGCGAAAGCGAAGAAATCGGCTGTAAGGATAACGAAGAAGACATCACAAAGAAGGAATCGAATGATACAGAGACAAATCAATCTACGAAATCAACCATGTATGATGATAATTCGTTAAAAACTCCGTTGCTTGGAAGTAGCTCAAGTGAAAATAATGGAACAACCGTCTATAGTAGCATTGATCGGCCAATCGTTCCCAAAACTAAAGGTAATATTAACAATAATGAAACAAATAATACAACAGATGATGATAAATGCGATGCTAAATCGGTGGCTTATAATGAATACGTTAATTTATTATGTGATACAGATCGAAGTGGTGGTTTATTCATGAAAAATGCCAAACGAAATGAACGCGCTGAAAGTCGACCATTGTTACGGCAAACATCGATGGACGACGGTTCGGTTAACCAGAAAATTCAACGCAGATCGAATCCAAGGCCTAGAAGTATCGTAAAAAGCCCATCGACACAGAATTTTAGTTCAAATACCGGCGATAAATTTGATGTTAATCGAAAACCACGTTTAAGTATTCAATGCACTGGCACCGATCCCGAACGACCCGTGTTACACGTTCAATTTTTGTCGCAACAACATAACGATTCAAACGATAGCATAAAACGAAATATGTTCAATAGTGTAAATTCACCTGCGAGCGGTGAGCATGAATCATACCAAAATGGTGATTCGACGACTGAACCACAACCGGAGGAGTTGATTCATCAAATGCCAGCAAGAGGAATTTTACGAACATCAAAATTACGAAGTAGCATCTCGTCCAGTTCGTCTGAGTCGTCGTCTTCGTCGTCAGACTCTTCGAGTAGTGATGATGTTAGTCAATTTGCTGAAGCAAAACCACCGGACGGTGGTTATGGGTGGGTGATTGTATTCGCCTCGTTCATGGTAAACGTAATTGCGGATGGCATAACATTTAGTTTTGGTGTTATTTATGTAGAACTTTTGAAATATTTCGGCGAAGGAAAAGCAAAAACGGCATGGATTGGTTCACTTTTCATGGCAATGCCTCTGCTCTCCGGGCCCATTGCATCATTTTTAACCGATCGATTTGGGTGCCGTCGAGTGACGATAATCGGTTCAATTCTGGCATCAATTGGATTTTTTGCGTCTTCATTTACGGATTCGGTGGAAATGCTTTTTTTCACGTTCGGTATATTTGCCGGTTTTGGCTTGAGCTTATGTTATGTGGCTGCTGTGGTTATTGTTGCCTATTACTTTGACAAACGTCGTTCGACTGCAACTGGTCTATCGGTGTGTGGTAGCGGTATTGGTACATTTTTATTTGCGCCTTTAACACAATTTCTCATCGACGAGTATGGTTGGCGGGGCACAACGCTTGTGTTGTCGGGCGTATTTTTGAATATGACTATTTGTGGTATGCTTATGAGAGATTTGGAGTGGACAACGTACAAATCGAAACAAAAAGCGAAACTGCGTAAGAAACGAAATCAATTGGGAATTTCAGCCGATTCATTTTCGGTGAGCAATAGCACAAACACTGGTGGCACAACAAGTAATCTACATAAAGACGATGCCAATGGAAATGAGATCGATAGAAGAGATGAAAATAATGGTGATAATAATTTAGCCAGTCAGTCCGAAACCATGGACGATCCACGACTATTTAGTTCATTGATTACATTGCCAACATTTGTTAAAAACGGCGAAAAGGTAAAAAAATTAAAAAATCAATACAAAAATATAAACTTTAAAAGAACATTTTAATCAATCATTGTAATTTCTCTGCTGAAGGTTCCAGTGGAAGTTCTCGAGCTAATGTCAGCAAACAAAAATGTGCACAGCGTTCTATTGAAAAATTATCCCGGTTTGGCACATTCAAGAAGTTTTAGTCAACCATTAACATCGTCACGACATTCGAATGGATCAAATGCACCGCTTGAGAACAATATCAGTCCAACCAGTGAAAGTGGTCTGACGAAGGCCAAAAGTCGCCGGATTCGAAACGAACAGGAGTTCTTGACATGGATGAAACAAGATCCTCATATTCACCATGCCAAGGATGTACGGATTATAATGGTTGGAATTTTAAATGCACATATTCACAACAGATTTATTTAACCTCCTTTGCGTTTATGTCTTTTTAGCATCGAAATCCGGCTGCATATCTGAAGGATTTGCGAATGCATCGTCATTCTTTGACTTATCGCGGTGCGATGTTGAATATAAACCGTTACCGACTACGAGCATCTTCGTGCCCGGATATCTATCGCAATTCAATGACAACAATTGCAAAAGAGAAAACACATTGGGGTCAAGGACTGGCTGAATTCAAATCAGTTTTGGTCGATATGCTGGACTTTTCATTTTTTTCTGATATTCGATTTACCTTATTCGCATTATCAAATTTCCTTTTGTATGCATGGTACGATGTTCCATACGTATACTTAGCCGATAATGCGGTGGAGCTTGGTTTCAAAGAGACCGATGCATCCATCTTGATCTCCTTGATTGGTATCGTAAATATGGTGGGTGAAATCATTCTTGGATGGACCGGAGATCGAAAATTCATAACAGCCGGAATGATCTATGCTATATGTATGGTTTTCTGTGGGATCGTCACTGGTTTGGTGCCTTTGTTACCTACATTTACCGTAAGAAAATTAAACATATTTGAAATGCACATTCTTTTATCATTTTCTAAGAGCAATGCCAATAATGCGTGTTTTTTGTCTGTGTTTATCCAATGCAGGGACTCTCAATATTGTCCGGTCTCTTTGGTTTATTTATCGCGGCGAATTATGCGCTCACCAGTATTATTTTAGTGGAACTAATATCTTTGGAACGATTTACAAATGCCTATGGTTTATTGCTACTTGTACAAGGGATCGCAAATTTAATTGGGCCACCTTTGGCCGGATGGATTACAGATTTAACTGGTGATTACCATTTAGCCTTCTATTTGGCTGGGTTTTTCATAGCCATTTCGGGATTATTGATGATGTTTTTGCCGGCACGTGGTAAATATCGAAAATATCGTGCTTTTCGTCGAAAGGGTCAAAGCAGCGGTGAAGAAGATGACGACGACGACGATGATGATGATGTCAGCGAAGTTGATCTTGAGAAATGCATACAAATCATTGAGGTGAGTAATGAAAAGTCCATAAATCAATTTACATAATAGTAACGAATTCATTTTTATTCCATAGGCACCAAAATCATCTCTTCCATACAATGGCAAAGCAAACGGCGTGCCAAAGAAGGGCAGCTCAACAGTTATTCCGGTTTAATCACAGCAACCGGATTTAGAATTTAGTTAAACGTTTGATGATGAATTTATACATGGAAATGGCTTAATTTAGTTGATTAAAAAAAATTATATGAATCTTGAATTTACAATTTAATTAAATTAGGGGGTCATAAATATTACACATATACACATATACAAGAAACACACTATATAACAACAGTTTAATAACATATTTACCGTTCGGTTCAAACAAGAGTAGTTGTTCCTTTATGATTTAGATTGATTAAAGTAACTAACATTGAAATAGTTGTATAATCCATATGGAAAATGGATCTTTAACCGTATTCTTCATTTTTCTCAAATATATATTGTACGAATTAATTTCTGTTTAAGTGTAGGTTGTTAAAATGAACCATCAAGTACCGTTAACACTTTTTTTTTGTAAAATAAAACACACTGAACGATTTTATCTTCAATAATAAATCAACTTTTTTTCCCTCACACAGTTCCATTGAATTATGAAATGATTTATACGTAAAGATGAAATCTTTGAAAAGTGAGAATATATTTCTCGATTATAAGATGGTAAATAAAAAATGTCGTCGATTCTGCCACAAACGCCATTTTCCAAATCAAATAACTAACGCCTTTTTTTTCAAAAACTAAACTATATACACTTAGCCTCTTCTCCATCGAATTTTAGATTATTAGAAAATGCGTTAGCCCCAAACATGTTTCTTTTCAATAAAAATTACCAACACGTCAATTACATATATTTAATCTCAAACAACTTTTTTAAAACAAAAAAAAGTTATAGCTGATAGAAGAACGCCCAATATTCCGAAATAATCTTATTTACCAAATGAAATTAAAATAACGAATTGTATCAAATTTCGATTCGAAATAAAAGCGGAAAATTGAGAGATATTCTTTCAAACGTCGAACCACAGCAAAACAATCTAAAAACAATAAAATCAGCACCGAATAGATTTCTTTCTCATCTCGTCAAGCCACAATCGATTGCACACTTTCAACTAAGTTCGTATGCACCTCTCACAGTAAAAAAAATGAATTCACATTTACATTTTGAATATTTGTATGAAGTGAGCAATTTAATGGGCCAGATACAAGAATTATGACCTCTTTTTTTGGAGTGGATCTTTTTTTTGCGATGGATTTCCAATCATTGAACAATCGACGGAAGACAAATAAAAACTCTTCTCAAATACTTATAACATAGCAATTCAAATAGTACACTTTAAAATAATACACTCAATTTTTCTTATCAAATGAAAATAAAAAAAAAAACGAACCAAATAAAAATTTAATAAAATCGTTAGCTTAGACCCAAGTGGAAGCAAAAACTATTAGATATTCTAAACAAAAAAAAAATTACAAACAATTACTTTAATGAATTTTTATTATGAATATGTACTGACAAAATAACAACAATTTGTAGAATTAAATTGCATAACAATAGGGATTTTAGGAAATATTTAACCAATAGTGTCGATTTGAATTTAATAAACAAACAACAAAGCCGTTTAAAGAAGAAAAAATACAACAAAAATCATGTATTGTCATGTAGAATCATCGTTTTGTGTATAAAAAAAACTCAAGTACTACAGAGAATAAATTAAATTCACATACCAATAAAACCCAATTGTTTTAAAATAGCTGAACTCAAATAAATTATCACAAAAAAAATTGCTTTTATCGATATGGCGCTATTTTCAGGCGGCTGAAATGTTGATTTTGCTTTTTTTTTTGGTCAAATTCACAACGATTAAATCAAAACGTGTTCGACTTCAAATATTTATAATTTGCTACGTGACAATGACCGCTGTGACCACTTGAATTGATTGAAAACGAGTCTATTATGTACTACATTGTTTTATTTTTTATCATGACAACAAAGTTTCGATATGCGTCGTTAAAATATGACTGTCTTTTGCCAGGAATTTGCATATCGACTGAATGATGCATAGAGAAAAAAAGGTAAGAAATGAAATCGATCAGCTTTTTAGTTATTTATTTCGATTATTTGAATTTCCGGTAAGACTTCGTCGGTCATTGTCTTCTCTGTTCAATCTACTGTCGGTAATTATATGCACGAGAATTTGATTTAGGTCATACATAGCCTTTAAAATTCATCGTTTACGTTTACGATTCTCTTTTTTTGCCTTAATTCCTATTTGGTAATCTAATTTTGGCCCGAAAAAATCTCCAAATTGTCACTAAGTCACATAGTTAAAAAAAAGTGTCGCATTTATTGCCTTGTGCTTCGTCATTAATCTTGTTTCGAAATCGGTTGCTCAAATCAAGACAACAGGAGTGCATTGGAATTAATGAGCGTCAAGAATTTGACCCACAACGAAACGTTGTCTGTCTAGCTATTTTCAACTCATGTTCATCGTTTTTCCCTTTGAACTACAAAAATAGCATTCAAACTGCGTACACAAAACGAATTGACTGCATCGTTGGGTTGGTGAATGTCTTGCGTTTCCATTAGTTTGTTATTTGTTGTTTATAAACAAACCCGCAGCCGTTTTTCCGCGCACCACAAAATGCCAATACAAAAATGGAAAATCGCATAAAATAACGGCTCAGTCGAAGATTTGATGCTCACTTGTGCACATCACGTAGGGCACGTTCCAGTGATTTTTTCCGTGGTTTCAATCGCCGTAGGTGTTCACATTTTCTTTTCCAAAAGGGTCAAATGATGCTGTTCAAAGTGTTAAGTTCTTCGTCTGAAAAACAAACCCAAAACAATTTTCCACTGAAACATATCCGTTTTTTGGATGAAAAATTCCTTCACTTATTTCGCATTTGAAATCATTTTTAGGAAATGGTTTTCCTTTTATTTCCACGAGATACGACAAAGCATCGATCAAACAGATCAATAGTTAGTCAAACAATTTCAATTCGTGCACGGGAATTTTTGTTATTTGCCAACATAAAACCTACAAAACAACATATCTATAACGACGTTCAAGTGGAATAAACAACAATCCTAGGGGAATGAAAAACATTTTGATTCATTTACATCGATAGTGAAAAGTGTGTTGTTATGGAATATTGCTCGATAGTAAAATGTATACATTATTTTTTTAGTATGAATAAATAATTGTGGCGGCGCACATTTTCTAGAGTGACAACTGACATGCACCAATTTAGTTCAAAGGGAGTGTTGTAATTTAAAACGAACAAAAAAAAGAACTCGCTTGAGACTAATTGTCTTCTCCATTGGTTACGGAACAGTTTTCGAAAGAAAGGCGATTGAACCGATCACATTCAGTTTTAATTGAAATGCATTTTTCCACCGAATATAATTTTCAAAATGTAACAACTACCAGTCATTGTGTAAAGAATTAATAAAGCGTCCAATTTCGAATCGATATTTCCAACTGAATATGCAATTAGCAGAAAGTAAATGACAACATATTGCCAAAGTAGTAATCGGTTTGGGTTTGCGTGTGTATCCAGGGAAAAGATTAATCGATAATTTTAAAATGGCATAGTTCGGTTGGGTGACGACAGGAAATCTATTATGCCGTGATGTTTGTACTATATTTGTTTTGTTGCATTTCATTGAATGAGTAAATATTTATCACGACTGATGAGGACAAAAACATGACAAAGCACCAAAAAATTCAAAGGAATTTCACCGCATGCTATCAGCACAAAGGCAATATTGATAAACATCTTTTGAAAAATTTTGGTATTCGGTTTATTCCATCAAACCGAAAAACAAGTAGTTTGTTATTGTTGAAATGGTAATTTAATTTACTTGTATCTCTGCCGATGGAAAAATTCTCATTTTGAAGTACTTATATTACAAACGACATTTTCGACAATTACGTCTTATTTTTGCCGTTTCGAAGCGGTTTGTCTGTGAAGCGATACGAGTTGAAAACAAATTCCAATTTTCACCGAATCTCATTATCAACAGCCTATGATATGTTCGTATCTTTTATCTCCACGGCATATTCAACACATGTTATATGTTAATCGGTAATTTTCGACTCGAAGCGTGCTATAACCATTGGTTTTCGTGAATAATTAGCGCCACTGACAATCTGATTGATTGACGGCGATAGTTCTTCTTTCGTGTTAAACTTTCCTTTAAAAAATCCAAGGTCTTGAATAACTCAAAGCATTCATCATGCGCTGCACATGCAATCGTCGAAGATGGCCTTCAAAAAGTTTCACTCACAGGCGCCGCCGGAATTGGTGGAAAGCACCACCTCAAAAAGTCTTTCCGAATGAAAAAACAACACAGCGAAATGTGAAATTTTCCTTTTTTTTGTGAGTCGAATTAACACCTGCATACAGCACAAATTTTTTAGATACTCACCAGACAAAAATGTTGAAATTCATTGAAGCGATACGCGATTGAAACGTAAACAATAATTATTTATGATTTGAATCTTATTCATGACTTGAATGCAAATATCCGATAATCTTTGTGCGATTTATTCATTATTTGTTGTTTTTTCTTCTCATTCTTTATTGAACGGAGACAAGATAGAAGAAAAAGACGAGACCTATAGTGTCATAAAACGAAACAAGGAAGAAAAAAGTAAACTCAATTTCAACGATTATTACATATCTATTTTTATGACTGCGTATTTATCGTTCCGCTTGTCAATTTCAATTGCTCACTTAATGGCAATCATTTCGAATTAAGCGTAAATTATTAAATTGATTGATATTTAAAATGAATAAGCGAAGCGACGGCGACCGCTGCATGTCTACGACAACAAGTAGAGCAAGCACTGTAAGTGGAATTTACTCCAACTTATTGCCGGTAAGCAAATGAGATATTCCACCTTTTTACGATGACATAATTGACTCCATTTCCATTTAGAGTCCTGCACCGGTGTGCATGTTTTATTTTGCTCATCCATTCGGTGGCATTGCAACACCCTCTTCAACGTCATACTCAATTGATCCATACACTGGAATGCCATCGGCAGAGAAAACCCCAAATTCCAAACATAAAAATACCGCCAGACGATCAACTCAACAACATCTAAACGATTTTACCCCATGGCCGAGACAAATGATGCAATCGAGAGACATACTGTCACCACTAATACAAGCACTTCAACAGCAAATCGGTAAGCTATAATTGATAAATATTTATGCAGCTAAAGAAAGAATGAATGAGGTATTAAATGCATGCAAACAGTGTGTTGTGACCTATGCTCTTGATCGACCCCCAAAACTGGATTTTATTCAAGGAATGCTATAGCATATTTTCGGTATGTTATTTGCATATTTCACAATGGAAAACTCCTCATACGATGATAGAACCCATAGCACTTTTTTTTAAATGAATGTAAAACAAAAGTTCACGAACATAGTTCACAACTGAGACGAAGTCGAGTTGAATGGCGTTGAGTGGCAAAGTCCTGTATGTTCCCATTTTTTTTTTGTTAATAAAAATGATGGAAAAGCACGCAATTCACTTGGATATACGACAATTCGTTGGTGAAAATAAATAACAATTATGCGTCATCGGCGACGAGGCTATAAAAGGAATGGCTTGAAGAAAATTGTAAAACTCAATTTGATGAGGAAAAAAAACAACAAAATTTTGTATTCGGGCTAGGAAAAATTTGTGTTGGGCGACAAAAAGTACTACTCTGTATGTAAACACAATGGAAAATAGTCGAAGAAGTATGAATGAGAGAATGAAAATTCGAACGAACGAAAAAAAAACTGCAAATGAAAAAATGTTAGCTTAGCCGATACCGCTTTTGTTGTGACTGTTCACTTGTGCACGCAAATGAACTTATCAAAAACAAATAATCGCAGAGAGAATTGAAAACGTCCCTTTGCATGGATTGGTTTGGAGTATGAATGTGGTGCGATGTGGCTTATAATAAAATGTAAAACCGTTACAATAGAGCTCGTGTCACGTACATTGTTTTCGTTTTGAAATCGCGATCATCGTCGAACCGTTTGCCAATTCGAATATTCTCATTACATTATGCCACTCTCTTTTTCTCACTTATACGCTCGTTCAATTCATACTCACTTCCTCTCATTCGGTTCGTTGGAATAGTGGATAGAGAAGAAAAAGAAGCAGAAAATAATACAAACGGCTCTGTGCAGCACTGAAATGTTGTTTGTTCGCCGGCTCTTGCTCTTTCTCTCTCAGTGTGTTGGATTTCGTTGTGTGTGCAGTGTGTCGTACTGTATATTCGAACGAACACAATTCGCTTGTCGTTTGCTCTATGTTTTCATTGTATCGTTTCGCATACGAACGTGTGTCGCCAACAACAAACACACTGATAATCAGAAGCGCACGGCACGAAGCACAGGTACACGATTGACTCGATCCAGCACGTTTATCATTTAATTTTAGTTCGTTCTATCGGTCGAAACGTTCTTGTTCCGCGCTCGATTTTTTTTTCATTTGCTACCTATTTCTCGTGCATATATTCGAAGCCAACTTGAAAACGTGCAGTCAAACTGAAAGTTTTTGAGTATTTTTTTTGAAACGCATATATTTTTTTTGATATGCTCCTCGGCGGTGAAAACAAGAAGAAATTCTTATTGCATTGCCTTAGTTTGTTGAAGTTCAAAATTAGTTATTTTTCTATAGAGAAACGATCTGTTTACGTTTTAAATGTTTAAGTGTTCGGAACTGTTGAAAACGAAAAAATTTTAGCAAAAAGGAAGAAAGATACGACAGAAAAATAAATATTAAATCCGTGGAAAAAGGAGCTAGATTCGACATATTTATTGTGAAAATTATTCGACGAAAAGAAAAACATTAAATAAAAATTTAAAGGAATTGTGAAACATTCAAATTGAAGTCGAACCAACAACCAAATGACCGCTCTTATCGAATGACGTTGGACAAGAAACCGACAGTTCAACTATTTGCTTTGTTCAATTTTAAGGTAATTTTTTTTGTACTGCTCTCTCTCTCTACGGTCGCTTCATTTTCCAGTCCGGTCATTTTCTGTTCTAATTGTCCCTTTTATTGTCTGGCCCACACATTTTATCGACTCTCGTCGTCGTGTTTGTGTGTGAATAAATCGTCCATTCGTTTTTAATAGAAGTTTTAAAGAAATGATTTATAATGGAGCGGAGAGAGTAATGGAAATTGTACGGGTAATGTAATATCGATTTTCAAATTGTACAGGTATAATGGAAGCCCCATTGTCGATCCACTTTGACATGGAAGAAAATCGCAGTAATTTTAAACTCCACTCATTTGTCTCTTCATATTTCATAATACAAAGTGAAATTTCAAACCACAAGACTCCCCTCACAACATATATAGTCAATGTTTATGTGAACGGTAAATATTTAGCTGAATTTTCGACACCATTCAAATATGTTTGTGTTCTCGAATTTAAAAAAAAAAACTAATGTCGCGTCTTATCTCATCATTAAATTCGATCCTAAAAATCATTTTTTTAAGAAATGTTTACCGATAATGCGCGAAACTCGATCAATCAATCAGTCATCAAGCAAAGTGAATTAGCCGAATATATTTGAATCTTGCATTTTTTTTTGTTAATAATAAAATCGAAATTGAAATGTGCCATAACAGAAATCCATTCAATTGGATTTATATAGTCAGACATGGTTTGTGTCTTATGACAAGCTTGTCGATTTGCCGTTGGCTAAGTGACATTGTGCGCGACAAATTTGAAATTAAGCTGACATAGTGGTTTGACGATTGTGTGTGTACGAAAGAGAGCAAAAGATAGAAGAATTGCCTGAAATATGTGCCAATATTAAAAAATATTTTTCGCATTTTCGTTTTTATTTAGACTTGATTTCGTTCATCACAGACAAATAAATTCAATTTTTCAATGCAAACAACGACATACGACACACGATCCATCGTTTTACCTTCAATTCTGTATGTGTACAAAACTGTATTCGAACTCCATGTTTATCCACATAGTTGAGTTTCCGCTCTCTATCGCTCGTTCGCTCTATCACTTGCTCGCACTCGAAATTTTTCGTGCACACTTGTCAAACCTTGAAGAGATTCTCTCTCTATATAGTAAAGGAATCATATATTTCAACGATGTAAAATTCTAAATTACGTTTTTTGATGCCATTCGAACGTCGACGTATACGGTATTGCCGGTGTCAAATAGTGTGCTTTCAACGACAATTTCGTGGCGATGCCTTGAAACTTACGTATGAAAAACGTTTCTCATTCCATGCAACAAAATGAGATTTTTCAAATATTTTATTTACACCATTTTTCCCCCCGGCGAAGTGACGATTCGTCGACGATGCAAATTCACAATTCAATAATAATCTCTTTTATAAATTGTGTTGATTGATGCAATTACATTGGTGGATTACATGTTGAAAAGCCTCGAATATAACTCCGTACATCGTGGAATTGTGAAGAAAAAAAAATATTTCAGCAAATATTTGCGTTTTTTGGCTTTGTTTGAATAATTCAGACAATTCATAATCAGCGCGGCGGTTCGTTAATCGAACGAAAAACCACCGCCAGAAATGGCATGAAGCATTAATCTCTTTATAATTACTTTTTCGAAACCTCATTAAACTTCGAACAGTCACATCTCCGGAGAGAAACAAAATAAATTCATTTAACTTCTGAACTCTTGACCCAATCAGTCTTGACAATTCTTTTTTCTCTTTTGACAATCACAATAATCAGCTATGAATTGTAGCGATATGCATTGGCGCTTAAGGTTATGTTATTACTGCGTCCTTGATGTCATGTAAATTAAATTGAATATGTTTTGTTTTCAATCCTTCAAATTCGCCAGACTTAATCGTTAGTCGCTCGACAAGTCCCGTCTCGCAATTCCATAATCAGTACAAATAATGGGTTAACATTTTTGATTTGATACGTTCTTGTTTTTATAGTGATAACATTCAGTTTGATGTTTTACGAATCTACTCCAATTTGAGTTCGGTCAAAAGGAAATCATAAACGAGAGGCAGAAAGGGAGACACAGAGAGAGACCAAATGTGTGGTAAAAATCAATTTGTGACTCTGCCAAAATCATTTAACCTAGTTACTATTCACAATGAATGTGCAACAGAATGCTCATGATTTTTGGGAACAATAAACTTTGAAGCACTAAAAAAATACAGCTATCGAACATACCCGCATTATGCATTCCCTATATTTGTATATGAAGTCGCGGATGTCAGAAAGCAATAGACGATGAGATTTCACGACGATTGCATAGAACATGTGACAGCAGGGCAAACGACGCAAACATTGCACGTAATACTAATAAATTGAAATAAAAGCCAAAAGCCTAGAAAATGCAAAATTAGTTGTTCGCATTGCATACCAGCAACAATCAGCATCGGAAGCCTTCCAGCAAACAAACGCAATATCACAACGAAAACGACATATATTTCACTAGTTTGTCGCGTACTATTCGAGAGTGCCAGTGCATTCTCTTTGTGTATGACTTTTTTCTTGTTTGAATCAGCTGTTTTTTTTTCGTGCTGACAAGTAAGCGATGGAAGTTTCAATTATTCAGCTCAGGAACTACTTCCACATTCGAAGCAAGCAAGCAACGATGTGCCTCATAAAAGTCTCGCGACTCATTTCTCACGTATGCAAATTTATATCGGAAAAAGTGCCATAGTTTTCATTGCATTCGCTTTATATTCTTTTTGCTTTTCATTATACATTTCGTTACGTGCATTGCAACGCGAGCGCAATGAAATTGAATACATTTTATTTGTTGATTTTGTTTCATATAAATTTGTTCCTTACTGGTTGGATTGTGCTAGTCACGCATTTTCTACGCGATTGTCACATAGATTATGTATATTTGGTTAGAATCGATATATGTGTATCGCACATTGCATGCGCAAAGCATATCGAACAACTCGACCTTGATTGGAACTTTTTTTTTATTTTCGATGAAAAAAACAGCATTAAATCGTAAATTTATGATAGCTTGACAGTTTTATTCTCAACCTGCTTTATATGGCCTTGATTCATTGTGCGAACGGTTTACGACAATTAAACACCGAACGATCAAATGGTAAACGATTGGATTTTTTTCTCTTTGTTTCGTTATCAGCCAGAATTTTATGACTACAATGACCACAACCGTAAAACATACGAACCGCTTTTTTAGAATCCAGAATAAAGTCGTAGTCATAAGCGATAGAGAGAAAAAAACGGCGATGACATTTCTAGGTCGAATATTATCGATTGCTGAATCAAGTAATCAATTGAATGGAAGTGAATTAACATCATTGTTTCAGAAGAATCGAAATTTTAACACATTTTATTGTATTTTATCACATTGCATCTCTTCGATGTGCATTTATTGAATGGATTCCGAATATCTTTCGCTTAAAATAGCCCATGAATATATCATGTCAATTACATTCCGTTAATCATCCAAATATGAACAACTCTTTTCATTTTGTAAGTGTATTCTGTTGACCGTCGCTCATTTCCACAAGATGTTTGCACAAACCGATTTTAAATATACTCTTTAACTGAACTATCCGCCGACTGCTTGTAAAATGTACGCAAAAAAGGTCTGAAAGAAAGATGCCGACGCGCTTACTCATCTCCATTTTAGATGTGTAATCGCCACCAAATGGATCATGGTTTCTCTTTCAGGCCAATGCATTCTGACATCTTGGTTGTGTGACGTGCACGATAAATGGAGTTTGTTGTTATTTTTATCTCGTTTAATATTTATTTGAGTTGAACATTTCACAGAATTTCCGTGCCACCACGCGAATCACATAAGATCCATTTGCATTTGCAATTGTTTCGTTGTCTATATTCGGATGGAAGAATTTGCTATTTTTAAACACGAATTCAAACATGTTTCATTGCACGGAATAGATCGCAGCTTGTGTGTCGCCGTGTCATGTTGACTATCAAAAACAAAAATGCCCGACAAAAACCGCGGCTCCATTTAACAATGTGTTTATTTGACTATTTAGAGCAGAACATATACAAATCTATCCGGTGTTCATTCTAATTGCGCTGATTATAGCAATATCAACAATGTTTAAATCCACATAAATTGATGTTGATTGAACTTATTACCGAAAGTGTGACGTGTGGTGTGAGTGCACGTATGTTTTCAGTTCATCAGTGATACTGAGACCGTTTACATTTGAAATTATTGCTTTCACTTTGGTCAATTCAAATCCATTGTTTGAAGGGTAAAGTGCTGCAATTTAAATCACTGTCATCGTCGTGACTATAGTCCCAAAGGTTGGTCTAGTCAACAAAACAAAATTATTTATTAGATTACGCTTAATGTATTTTTGCGCATACATTTGTTTAGATTAATCATTTGCGAAAAATTTAAGCCATAAATTGATGTGCATTATACTCACTTGACACACGGACGAAATTAAATTGTGGATGTTATGACGGTCAAAGTCGACAACAACTGTTCTCAATTCACACAAAATGTACCGTTTTTTCGAGATATCTGCATTGGTTGGCCTTTCAGTCAAAGGCATTTTCTTTCTTCTAAAATGATTTCGGAATAATTTACAAACAAAAAAATCGTTTGATTTACATATGTCCAACGAATCGAATGGAGTTCTGAGTTGTAGCGCTTGCTAAAAATAACAATTGTCCATTGTCGTCATCAAATATTTCAAATTCCATTGAATTGAGCTAGTTTGAAAAACTTTACATTTACGCTGGCAAGTAATACGCAAGTAATGTATTCATGAAAAAATTCGATTGAAAACAAACTGATTAACCCTCTACTGCTCCGTTGTTTGATTAACATAAAAAAATCATTTAAAAATTGCGTTTTAGACAGTTTTATGCAGTAGAGGATTAATTGACCAATAAAACTGATTGTATTTTATGTCTTGGGTCACTCTTCCATCGAATAGATTTTGTAAACAACGTCAAAAACGAAAACAAAATCGACGTGAG